AGGGAGTGGTGAAGAGAGGAGGTAGTGATGGGGGGAGAGAGTGGAGGGGAGGGGTGGTGCTGCTGGGCCCTCGTCGCCGTTCCGCGTTGGCGTTGGCGGTGGTGGGCGCTGTCGCGTATCGTCGTGCTCACGTGTCGTTGTCATTGTCACGCGTTGTCGTCGTTGTCGTGTGTCGTCATTGTCGTTGTTGTCGCGTTGTCGTTGTCGCGTGTCGTCGTGCTCGCGTGTCATCGTGCTCACGTGTCGTCGTTCTCGCACATCGTTGTCGTCCTCGCACGTCGTTGTCGTTGTCGTGTGTCGTCGTTGTCGTTGCGTGCCGCTGCTGGGCGCTCGTCGCCGTTCTGCATTGGCGTTGGCGGTGGTGGGCGCTCGTTCGTCATTGTCGCGTATTGTCGTGCTGGCGTGTTGTCGTCATTGTCATCGTCGTTGCGTCGTCGTTGTCGCGTGTCGTCGTGCTCGTGTGTCATCATCGTCGTCGTTCTCACACGTCGTCGACCTCGCACGTCGTTGTCGCGTGCTGCTGGCACCTGTCGTGGTGAGAACTAGGCATTCGGGTGGTGGGCATACGTACCCTTGGCCCATGACGTTGCCACGTCATGGGCGTTGTCCCTCGTTCTTGGCCCGTCATTCCGCGTTGGTGTGGGCGTTGTTGGCATGGGCGTGGGTGTTGTTGGCGTGGGCATGGGCGTTGTTGGCGTGGGCATGGGTGTTGTTGGTGTGAGCGGTGTTGGCGTTGGCGGTGTTAGAGGACAGTGGTGGTGGTGGAAGGGAAAGGGATGGTCACGGATGTGTGACCATGCCGCCAACAGGATACGTGATGATATGGCACGCCCTCAAGTAGTCACGTGATCTCACCCCGCAGACTGAACAAAATCATGAATCCTTATTGCAGCTATCACTACCTATACTAATATCTATAACATTACCTTTCTATTCATTGATCAATAGAATTATAAGTCTGTATAGTCTATTTCGCTTTTTTGTAGTATTAATAATAATAAGTAATAAGCAATAATGCACTGGAATCACTGGAATCCACTGGACTCCAGTGGATTCTGACTGGACTCATAGTCCACTGGACTGGGACTGGACTCAGAAAAGTGGCTTGTAGTCCAGTGAGAGTCCAGTGGACTGGACTGGACTGGACTGGACTTGAGTCCAGTGGACTGGGGATTGTGCAAGCCAATTTGGCCTGACAAATGGGCCACTGGAATCCACTGGACTCCACTGGACTCCACTGGACTCCACTGGAATCCACATGGATTACGTGGGGGATGGTAAAGACCTCCAAGTAACCTCAATTTGCCAGCACCCCAAAATGTGTCAGTTGAACTGAAAGAGCGCCAAAGCATATGCGTGCCAAAGAATAACTGCATCAAAAAATTTATTATACCCTAGCTACTGTAGGGTATTTCAAGATATGTATGGCCATGCGAATTTTATTTACAAGTCCTCCTCAATGATGGTGTCCGGTTTGCTCAACTGGCCTGCTGTCGCCGAATTGATGCTATCGGGAGCCTTACCACGCGTAGGTTGTCTGCGCTGAGGTGCACTCGGTGGGCCCTTCTTCCGATTGCTGGCCGGTTTCTTCCTGGTGATGTCCGCGTCGACCTCTTCATCAGCCTTCCTTTTGCACCCAGTAGACGTGGTTCGTTCATCTCCACTTAGTGGGGAAGCAGGGCGAGATCCAATGGCGGTAAGTGGAGAACCTGGGCCAACCTCAACCGGCGCGAGTTCTACTCCTTCGGTGTTGGGCGCCGTGGGACTTGAAGGGGCAGCAGGTGCAACTCCAGCAGTGGCGGTGGCCACCACTGATTGCTGTTTCACTGCGATGGGCGAGTGTAGCTGCGAGGGTGCATTCGAAGCAGGCGCTGGAGTTGATGGAGCGATGGTGGGCGCCATGTCAGTCCCATATGCTGCGCCAGGCGAACATGGAGCTGCATCAGTGACAGTGGGCGCCGTGTGAATCGCATCTGCTGCACCGGACGAACGTGGACCTGCATCAGTGGGGGGCGACGTCGACTGACCCCTTTGAAAATCCTGGGTGCAGGGCAGTCGAGCTTCAAGGACTTGGATCATCTCCTCCCACTTGGGTTTGGCGCGCTCCAACAACTCCTTCACCTTTGCCACTGAGTCGTCGCTTTCCACCAATACCAGTGCACCCATCTCCTCCAGAAGATCGGTCATTTTCGTCACCAACTCTAGGAGCGCCGCATGGATGCCATTTCCAAGGAGGAAAAGGCTTTCCATCGCGAAGATCACCTTTTGCGTCGTCCAATCCTTGGTTGAGGTAACCGATTGCTCCATCTTCTTCAGCTTGAGGAGCAGTTCGGCCACGTCTTCCTTCCACTCTTCGATGACACCGTCGAGCTTCTCCCTTGTCTCCTCCACCTGTGCCGCAAGTCTCCTGCACTGTTTTTCGAGTGTGATGATGTGGTCCTCCATACGAGCTGGGCAATTGAATTGGTCAGTTGGATGGCTGGACTTCATTTGAAGAGATTTACCAATCTCAGTGGGCGCAGAGTCTGAGGGCGACGCAATCGAGGGCTGGGCCTTTGGTTTGGCGTTCGGAGTGGAATCTAACAAAGACATTTCAGAGAGCATTGGGCATGGGGAGTTTGGCACAATACCTTTTACCTGGGGCTTCGACGGCCCTGCAACCTTGACCGCCACGGGTGCGTCTCGTTTGGGCGCCGCTGGTTTGGGTGTCGCTGGTTTGGGCGCTGGTGTAGGCGCCGCGGCTTTGGGCGCCACAAGTTTGGGCGTGGTGTTTTTGGGCGCCGTTG